AGGAGGAGGAGGAGCGGTAGCGGTACTGGGTAGCCGTAGCGGGCAGCGGGTAGCGGGTAGCGGTCAGCGGTTAACAGAGCAGGTGGCGGTAGCGGAGTGGTATGGAGTGGTAGTGGTACTTGTTGTAGGAGCAGCAGCAGTGGCAGTGGCCGTGGCCGTGGCCGTGGTGGCGGTGATGGTGGTAGTGGTTGCGGTGGTTGTGGTTTTTGCGGTAGTGGTCGTGGTGGTGATAGTGGTGGAGTTGGTAGTCGTGATCGCGGTAGATGTGGTGGTACGTAGTTGTAGTGGTAGTGGCAGTGGCAGTGGCGGTGGCGGCGCTCACAAATGCTTTTGGCGGTATCGACGAGGGGAACGATTGATGAGATATGCGCTGTGATGCAGCTTAACTTCGAAGCGTGCTCCCTCAGTCAGAGGACGAATTCGAGCCGTGTTCTCTCTCTTACGTCCTTCCCTCGTCTAACCTCACGGACTCTGCAAGCTCTTCATTCATTTGCTGTTTCATCCCAGGTGTCCCATTTGGTTTTCGTGCTACGGATTCTGGTGATGCCAAGCGCAGGGCGTGCACGAGGGCGTCTTTGTAGCTGCTTTGAACTCGAACGTCATCCTTGTTTCGCTCGGAGACGCTGGGATATTTAAGGATGAGCATGCGGATTAGAGTTTTTTTTCACGCCAGGAGGGGCCCTGCCTGCACCTGCAGCTGCAGGCGATGAGCCTCCAACTTCACCTCATGCAGTACTCTGACCCAGCCGAGCCGTGCTATCTAGGAGTCCACTGAAGATGAATGATTGTGGTGTAAAGTCCGTGGGAGGCCTGCTTCAAGCGCTCCTCCAGGTGGAGCACATGCTCCTTGAGGCAGCTACACGCTAGCAGTCCAAGCAAGTATCACCTCCTTTTTCAGAAAACCCGAGAATCAGCCCTTTCAGCCCTCCATGCAGACAATCAACTTCGGCGTTAGTAAGTCGATGCACGTCCACGAGGCCTTCAACTCCTCGTTCTCGGCTTCGATGTCGTCCTGAGTGAATCAGAACTGCCTGTCGCGTTGTATCCCTGAGTTTTCTTTACACAACCACGTGTCAAAGCAGAATACAGGCTTCAACTGCAGCACATGGGCCGCCTTCCAAACACAATCGTCTGCTTGCCTGCAGCCACAGCAACCGATGCTGTGCCCGCCGGCAGTAATGAGGCAAAAACGGGGCGAAGCGAAAACAGGCCCAGGACTACAACCGTGGACCAGCAGTTTCACCGTCACCACCGTAACCTCTGACCGACCTTCGGTCTGAAGCGGAAATAAATTTGCGAATTTGACAGTCATGTTGCACAGATGCAGCGAGTGGCAGAAGCTGCCTGCACAGGTGGAGCGGACATGGACCGGATCCAGAGTGCAGCTTAACAAGAACGTGCAAACGTCGTACAATTGACACTGGTATACACTGGTAGTGTCGCATGCCGTGCAGAGAACACGATCCGACCAGTCTTCGGCCAGAGGGGTCTCGTATGGTCCCGTTCGAATTCTGCGCTGCGCGAGCTGCAAGGAGCTTTCTCCTACTGGAAGTGGGAGCGGTGGAAAGTTGGAAGGCAGACTGTCAAAGCTCCTCGTCAGAGTCGGAAGTTGGCGACCAACGTGAGAGGGGCCCGTCTTGGCGCCGTTCGGACCTCTCCCGGACCATCTCCAGCTCATCCTCGGTGCTGTCGTCGTCTGTTACATCGACGAAGGTGCGACGCACCACCGTGTTGCTGACTGCATCTGACCTGATTCGCCAGCTCCACCCGCCTCTCATCTGGAGCAAACCGAGGCTCGACATCTTCTGTGAGGCACGGGGCATTCGCTCCGCCGTTGGCTCGGCGATAGGCGCACTTCTGCACCAGGAAAGCTTCGACGATGTGTTCTCGGACCCGCTCCCACTCGTCACGCCTCACCACACACTGATAGTGAACCAGGCTCCGGCCATCCAGCGAATTGTACGCATCGAGGCTAATCCCCAGATTCGATGCGAATTGCTTGATGAATTTAGCCAACCGAAACCTGTCTTCCTCGCCGAATGACATTCGTGTCCAAGAGCACAGATGTCTCAGCTGACTAGACTACACCTATTTGGCCTGATAACTGCACAGGCTTTACGACCCGAGCCAGGTCCCAGCGGCAGCAGCGGGGGCCCTCGCTTGCAGCTGTGGATGCTAAGGACAGTGTACATGTTCTCGTCCAGGGCACGCAAGTTGGTGATCCCTGGCCGGTTCAAGAACTGCGTGGCGGCCCGAAGGACTGTGTCGAGCCAGAGGGCGTGGTGAGTTGACATCCACTGGTCGAACTTTTCCGCAGAGACAGCGAAAATTCCCACAAGTCCAACCTGTTCAGCTGCTTGTGGTCGGCAGATCAGCAGGGCGTCGGCAGGGTCGCCATCATTCCGGGAGAACATGAGGGTAGTGTCTTCATTTGTTGGCCAGGCCCGGCAGAGCGTCTGTCGGCTAACGATGGGAACCGAGACCTCCGACAGGCCAATGCCCCAAGCCTCAGTGTTCCCAAACTCCAGGCCCGTCAGCTGCTGCAGAAGCCCCCAAAACACAGGCCGCCTTACGACCGCATCGCCTGGTGCCAGCTGCTCCAGCAGCTCCATGCGACCTGCTGACACCAGCAAGCTACTGCTCTTGTCTCCGGCCTGAGCAGTAGTTTGCTGGTGTCAGCATTCTGCACCTGGATACCACTGAGGGTCAGCAAACTTTAACAAGTAACCACCCGACAGGCTTGACAGCCCGGCACGTTCACACACCTCCACTCCTGCTCCGTTAGCAAGTGGGGCACCGACTCGAACCACTGCATCACATCGCTGGGACGCTCGACCGTCATGGCTGCTTGCATGCGAGAAAGGTTCTATGCCTGCACATGCGCTCGCGGCACTTGAGATTTGATGGCTGCTCATGAGACCACGCAAACGTTGCGACTGCTGCTGCGGACCAAGACTAAGCCGAGGCAGCCCGAGGCAAGATGCAGTTGTCTTCGTTTCTCGTCGGACGAGCTTTCGAATCACCAAAGCACTGCAACACTGCATGCCTGCTCCAGCCGTTAGACGCAGCAACTGATGCTGTGAGTCGTCCACCAGCCGAGTCAAGAACGTGCAGGAACGTCCTTGCCATCACCATGCCTGTGCCGACTATTTGGCGTGCACTTAGCTAGGATGGCCTGACAGAAATGTCCGGCCCAAGTCGAACCGACCCGCGCCACTCTTCTTTCACCCAGTCTTCTTGTACATCTGCAGTGACTGGAAGCTGCTTGCCCGCACAAGTGGCGGCTGTACATGAACCAGAGCGCGGGTGGGCCATGCAAACACAGAAAAAAGCCTTCTGACAACATTTCTGACAACATTTCCGCCTGATTGTCATGTCGGCCAACGAATTCGTCACACATGCACAGGACAGTCAGGGTCTCGACATGAGTGAGGAGCCGCAGCTTTTATTCCGAATCCGAGGATGGAGGCCAGCGTGATGGGAAGGTCTTAGCACGTCTGTTGGATCTCTCCCGGATGATCACGAACTCATCCTCGGTGCTGTCGTCCTCTGCAACCTCGATGAAGGTGCGACGCACCACCGTCTTGTGCTGCGATGGCTTCTGCTGCCTGGATTTGATCTGGCTGGCCACCTCCACACGTCTATCGTCTGGAGCAAAACGAGGTTCAGCATCTATTGCAAGGCAAGGAGCACATGAGCCGCCGTTGGCTCGGCGATAGGCGCGCTTCTGCACCAGGAAGGCTTCAAGGAATTCCTCTCGGATGCGCTCCCACTCGTCACGCCTGACTGCGCACTGGTAGTGAACCAACCTCTGGCCGTCCAGCGAATTGTGAGCTTTTAGGCGCAGCCCGAGATTCGCGGCAAATTGCTTGACGAAGTTCACCAAGCGAAATTTGCCATCCGGGCCTAACGGAATGCGTCTCCATTCGCCAAGTTGACTCCGTTCGTCTGTCTTGATCGTGACAAATGCCGGCTCAGTTGAACCAGGTGCCAGCGGCAGCAGCGGGGGCCCTCGCTTGCAGCTGTGGAGGCCAAGGACAGTGTACATGTTCTCGTCCAGGGCACGCAAGTTGGTGATCCCTGGCCGGTTCAAGAACTGCGTGGCGGCCCGAAGGACTGTGTCGAGCCAGAGGGCGTGGTGAGTTGACATCCACTGGTCGAACTTTTCTGCAGAGACAGCGAAAATTCCCACAAGTCCAACCTGTTCAGCTGCTTGTGGTCGGCAGATCAACAGGGCGTCGGCAGGATCGCCATCATTCCGGGAGAACATGAGGGTAGTGTCTTCATTTGTTGGCCAGGCCCGGCAGAGCGTCTGTCGGCTAACGATGGGAACCGAGACCTCCGACAGGCCAGCGCCCGAGTCCTCAGTGCTCCCAAACACCAAGTTGGCCAGCTGCAGAAGCCCCCACGACGCAGGCTGCCTTACAACTGCATCGCCTGGTGCCAGCTGTTCCAGCAGCTCGATGCGACCTCCCAGCGTCTCATGCATTGCTCTAGTCTCCGGCCTGAGCAGTAGTTTGCTGGTGTCAGCATTCTGCACCTGGATACCACTGAGGGTCAGCTTTAACAAGTGACCACCCCACGGGCAGTGGCAGTGGGACAGGCTTGACAGCCCGGCACGTTCGCACACCTCCCACTCCTGCTCCGTTAGCAAGTGGGGCACCGACTCGAACCACTGCATCACATCGCTGGGACGCTCGACCGTCATGGCTGCTTGCATGCGAGAAAGGTTCTATGCCTGTACATGCGCTCGCGGCACCTGAGGTTTGATGGACGAGCTGGACCGGTTTTTCACGAATTAGTCACAAATTCAACAGCAATTCGGAATCTTCGGAATCTGTCGTGGCACAGCTCAGGGCCTTTCGGGCTGGAGAACCGGACGACTGAGCGCCCGACCATGTCCTGCTCACGCACCAGGCGTTTCATGCCCTCCGCCTGCAGGCAAAACCTTTATGGAGATCTTCAGCAAGTGACTGATTTTAACCCGCAAATGCTCTTGCAGACAGAAACAAGGCAACGCGTTTAGCCATGTCTCGTTGCACCGTGTTCCTTCCCAGCTAGAATTAGGTCCTGTATGCCGTTGCCCGGGGCTCTTGCCAGCTTCCTCCACTTGCCTGACACCACGATCCTTAGAAACATGACAGCAGCACCTCTTCGTCACTGCACCTCTTCGCCTTCCTACCTATGCGGGACGGCTTGGGATCGCACCCTTTCATTCGCTTTTCCTCAGATGAGAAGAGCTATGGTCCCGTCTCCGAGCGCGTAAAGCATAGTATAGTCAGTATAGTACTACAAAATATAGTATAGCATGGTATATGACAGTGTTATGAGACAGTTACCTTATAGTATGTGTCAACACCCTTCGAAGCCTTCCCATCCCTTCCCAGCCGGGTGGCCGCTCGCAGAGCCTCCTCGTCAGACTCCTCGCTGGAGCCGCTGGAGTCCAGCCCCTGCCGCTTCGGCCGAACTTTCCCTTTCTCGACGGCTTCTGCCGCAGTCAGAAGACGTCGGTGCACAAACAGGAGAAACCCTAAACCCTAAACCCTAAACCCTGAAGTCATCTGAAGTCCGAAACTCTTGCCTGGAGGAGTCTCTGCGGCGACTTCGGCTTCGAGGGGCCCGGGGTTTCCACACCCTCACCTTCCTGCCTGGCCTCCAGGGCCTCAGAAGAGAACGTCTCAGCTCGGAGACTTTAAGGGTTTTAAGGGTACCATAGGGTTCTGTAATCGGGTTCCCTTCAAGGGTACCATAGGGTTCTATAATAGGGTTCCCTTTAAGGGTACCATGGGGTTCTGTGATAGGGTTCCCTTTGAGGGTACAACAGGGCTCTTCAATAGGTTTTTCCTTTGTAGATCGACGCTTTTCCCAAGAATGCCGGCAGCTGCTGCATGTAGCACATGCACTACATGGGATTCACGATCTGACTCGCGGTTCCCTGTCCGAGTTTGCGGCATGCTCCAGCTCCTTGGTTCCACGAGCTCCCCAAAACGGTGCCAAGTCTCGGGTATGTTATAGTATAATTACAATTAGGAACCCCCCAAAATAGTATGTGTAATTATTACAAGCCCAAGAGATGAAGAGGTGGGCGCAAGCAAAGGAGCTAGGGCATGTTAGAGCCGAACTATAGAAAGAACGGCACGGCTGGATTTCCTTTTGAGGTCGCCGTTACGTCCAAAATGTAGGGAACCGACTCAAGCCTTCGAATTGCTCGATGCAATGCACGCTGGGGGCCCTTCCTGGAGTGTTTGGCTGTCGCATCCCAGATGGAAAGAACCCCGAAGGAACCCTCATGGCCCTAAACCCTCACCCCCTAAACCCCTAAACCCCAATCCCCTAAGCCTAAGCTGTGAACCCCAATTCCGAACCTCAGCGCACCCTGATGGCCCTAAAGCCCGATGTCCGACTAATTCCTGAACATCCCCTTGACCCCAAAACCCAAAACCTTACTGTAACTCTGAAACCCTTAACCCTAAACCCTGATTCCCCTAAACCTCAAACCCCAACCCCTGATCCCCACCCCTTCCCAAAGGCCACGGGACGGCCACGCGCCGGCGCAGATGACGATTCTCGAGCTCTAGGCCGGCGGCCTCCTGCGTAAACAAGAGTTCTGCAGGGTTTAGGGTTTAGGGCTTTTTAGGGTTTAGGGGTTTTTAGTGTATTCGATATAGCACGCACGGCTGTAGCGGTTTCCAAAACAAGACATAGGGTCTACAAGTTCAGGGGCTAGGCTTTAGTAACTTCGAGTTCGGAGATCCGGGACTCAGAGACGCGCAACTGTACTCACCGGAACCACGCCTCAGGGTCCATCCGTAAGGACGACCGTGCCTGAAGAGGCAAGCAGGGACCGCAAGGACCGGAGCCAAGAGCCTCAGAGAAGCCAAGGTCCGAGCTCTGTGGAACTTTCTCGCGGGAGGCACCGGTGTGTCCTGCAAAGGGCGATGTCTGAAACTCGTCCGCAAGGGGGCGGTCGAGCTGAAAGCTACGTTGAGGCTCAGAACGCGGTGATTTCTGGCGTGCGCCTTTCTGAAGGCGTCGCTGTCTTATCCTTTCGACCCCTTGATGGTCGAATTCGTTGTGATCCATCAGCAGGTTGCTGAGGGTTGCTGTCAGTCTGATGCCGTGCGAGCTTTTCACGAACCCTGCTTATGCCAATGCAGGGCTTCTACAGAGGGATCTCGAGTCAAACTTCTCGAATGCTGTTTTGCCTTGCGTCCTTGGCTAGCCAGCTTTTGCAAGCAGCTGGACGATAATTCTGTGCCACCTCACCACTTGGCAAGACAGAAGAGGAAACTCCGATACTGTTTGCCCGTCCCACCCACCATCTCAACATCATATCCGCTATATCTGCCTACCTCGGCACTGACGGACGGGCATAGGTGCATACACGCAGGCCCGCGTACACATGGAGCTCCATCGCGCACACGCAACGGGGCATTCGCGACATCACCAGAGTTTGAAACCTTAAACCTTAAACCCTAACTTGAAGACATTAAACCCTAAATGATTAACCGTTAATCTTCGACCCTATATTAGAAGCTTCAGAGCTGAAAAAATCAACCTTACACTACAAACCCTAGACCTTGCAACTCATCAACCTTAACGCGTAAACCCGCAGTTATAAATCTTAGGGCTTAAACCTCAATCTTGAAGCTTTAACGCTGTATTATATTAAAACCTCAAGCCTTAAACTCTAAATTATGTATAACCTTAAACCTGAAGTCCTAAATTATGAAACCTCAAAACTCAAAACCCTGAACCCTAAACCCCAAGCCCTAATGGAATCCAGAAAGCTTCAGCATCCCGCGAGTCCTGCCCAAAGCCATCTGTGGACCTTCCACTAGGCCCACTGAGGGGCTTCTGCAAATCTATACGGGTTCCTTGAAGAGTTACTTTAATTTGACGGGCACTATAAGGGTATGTGGGTTACTAGAAAGCATTTAGAGGGGTTACGAGAGGCCCAAGCTTTGGTAGAAAGGGCGCAGGCTGAATCCAGTACCGAAGGGAAGTACAAACGAGAGAAGCTCAGACTGTTCTTTGCCCAAGAAATTGCATCTAGAAAGAGAGTGTGGCTGTTCAAGTCTTTCCATCGGATGCTCACATCGATCTCCGAGTCTGCTGCTCGTTTATTGCTTCCGAAGTCATCTGCGCTCTTCCGGCCAGAGGGCCCGCGAACCTGCCAGCATCTGCCATCCGACATGCAGTGTGACTGGCGGTGTGCACAATTCAATGCAGAAAGGAGCAGCTCAGTTCCCACGGCCCTCGGGCAACACCCCCACGCCCTGTACCCTAGGCGACGGAAAGACCGCATACAAGCCCAGAGCCTTGCCACAGCATGCCAAGCTCGCAGCAATACATGACAGCTCAACAGCCTTAACAGCCTCGCACTTCGTGAAAATGTCTAGCGGGTTGGAAGGATATGCAACTCAGGCCCCTAGGCAGTACGCATTTTCGGTTTAGCCACTCTTTGCCTGCATGAGCCGATGCTCGAAGCTCACAGACTTTGGTAGGCTGACCACTGTGCGCAATTCAGCATGCAAGGTTCGTGCGCCCAGCATGCAGCAACAGCCGAAGCGCCCAGCCGCACAGTAGATCTTTTTTTGCTGGTGTTCATCACCTACATGCCTAGCTGGGGCTACCTCCTCGGAACGTGACGGAACTACTGATCCCATGGCACAACAGTTCGCCGTTGTCTTCTGACCTGGCAGGCAAAGGCACAAACAGTGGCACGGTTGAAAACTGATTCAGTCACTCACATGCAATCCCGTAGCTTTTCTGCGGTCCACGTCATGGAGCCCTAGTCGCCATCGGAACAACGTTACTCGCAGCAACAGCGTATAGCTCCTTCATGAGCTGCAGGTGGAGGCCATTGCTTAACAAGCATCAGACCACATGCACAATATGGTGTGAAGCCAGCACTTCCTCGCTTGCTTCATGAGGGCACGACTCTTGCATAAACATTTTTGGGATTGATAGAGGCGGCTGATGCTGCCAGGTCCCCCAGCTTGCTTGCAGCCAGGTAAAGCATTCAAATCTCCTTGGCAGTCAACCTCTGAGGCCCGTTTATACAAAAGCTAGGACAACATGCTAGAGTAGTACTGTACAGTCCAGCACCCACTTGGGCTTTTAATTTAAGATCGGTTGATTTGAGCCGTGGGCCTCTGCAGTGATCAAGTTCGGTATTGGGATTTAGCAAGAGCGTGCCCCGAAGATAGTACAGCCTCCTGTTGCTGCACGGGGATTGAAAAAGGGAAGCCCTCATGCACTTGCCTTCTCAGGCCTTTGCAATGCTCGCCAGTCCACGTTCCTTCATGGAGCTGGCGGGCGCCTAGTCATCACTCTGCTCCATCCGAGAGCTGCTCATACACTCGGTGCGAGGCTGCCCTGGGTTTCGGAGCTCACTTCCCCAGCCTTGCGCTGTTCCCGCAATCGGCGCAGATCCCGCGGATAACTCCAATGCAGGAGGGTGTAGGCAACGAGACAAATGCTCCACGGGATGCAGATGGTAGCCGCCATGGCTTTTCCAAGCGCTGTGGCTGAGTCCAAGGTGCTGTCCGTGTTGCCGTCCTCGCCAAAGTGGTAGCCGAAAAGGTTCTGAGCCAAAAGCGAAACAATCACCGGCCCAATAGCGGCCGCTGTACTGCTCTCCAAAGCACCCTCCCAAGCCATGACCTCACAGGCTGTAACTGGGCTGCACTGGCTTAGCTCCACGTCGATCGAATCATGTTCCGAATTCATTCCTATCTTATGTTTTCAATTGCGCATGATCGACGAACCCCCCCCCCCCCCCCCACCTTACAACGGTGCTCCGCCGGCACGATGTCCGAGAGGATGGGAAGATTCGTGCCAATGCCAGCCCATGTAGCGAAGACACCGAAGGAGCCGATGATCGCAAAGTATACCCAGAAGGATCCCTGCCCCGCAGGAACCCCGTAGAACTGCAGGTACATCAAGGGGATTCCGATCGCCACGGTGATCTGTGCATTCAGCGGCCTGCCATGCTGACCCAGCCGCTTTGCTAAGGTGTCAGCGACGAAGCCACCCAGGAGGGCGCCGATCATCCCAGCAGCTGTAAACTCTGCTGTCAGAATGGAAGACTCCCAGTCCTGCAAGCCGCACAGCTTGAAATAGAGCAGGTTGTTCCCCATGATGCTCCAAGGAATGCTCCCGAAGATGCCCTGTAATACTAAAATGCTGAAAGATGGGATCGTCAGGAAGCGTAGCACGGCCATGAGCTCCTGCCCGACAGTCCTGCAAGCTCCGGTTTTGGAATTATCCGGTTTCTCCAACTTCCTCGGGGGCTCCACCATGCACTTGGCCAAGACCGCTGCCACGGCATAAGTTAGAACACCGGTGACAAAGAACAGGACGCGCCAGCCGGCCAGGCGAGCAATGAAGATGTTGGCCACATTGCCGCCGATCAGCGTGGTGATAAGCATTCCGAACATGAAGAAGCTTTGCAATTGCCCAAAAATCTTGCCTCGATGCTGCTCTGGCGTTGCGTCTGCCACCAGGCCGATGCTGACGGGTTTCAGGGAGGCCAGGAAGAAGCCGCACATTGCACGGAGGAAAACAAGGGGCAGCATTGAGGACACGAGGGACATGACAGTCACAGCGGAGCCAACACCGATGCAACCGGATGCGAGGATGGTCCGCCGTGACAGCACTTGTCGATCGGCAAGGATTCCCCAAAAGGGAGCTGCCAAATTGGCAAAGATCATCTGGGCGGTTGTCAGAATGGCAATCTCGTGGAGGGTGAGTTCGATGTCTCTCTGTAAAGCAAAGAGACATGTGCTGAGGAGCTGTGAATCTACACCCTCCACTGTGTAAGCAGCTGCAAGGCAAAAGAATGTCTTTCTGCTAAGTGCGCTCGTTGCATCAGCATGCACACCGGGAGTATCTTGCTGGATCTTTCCAGGAGTAGCCGCCCCTTCTGTGTTTGATTTCGCTGGGGCCACTACTCCCTCGAAGTCCTCATTGCCAGGTCGTTCGGCCATGGCAGAAGTCTACAAGTTCTTCCCTTTGAGCAGAAGGAGGAGCCTTTGAGCTGAAAATGCCTAGCAAAACACCACACATGCCAAGGACATGTTTGGCTGCCATCTGCTCTCTCCATCTCTCTCTGAATCTCTCTTCTGTGCTTTCTGCAGGGAGGGAGCTGCACGAAGCGACGCAGATCGACGCAGCGTCAGTGCGTGCAGGGTTGCGGTGGAAGAAAAGCAGACGGCGCTGTGAATTACACGTACACACAGGTAGCCTTCTTCCTGCATGGTATACCCTGGCACTCGGGGAACACGCGCAAGTCAATGGGTGGTGGGGCTGGATTAGGATTTGCTGATCCCCCAGCGCTTGACCACAAGCTCTGCGCAATGCAAGCGGAGATCTGTGATGCACTACCACTGATTCGTGTACATGTACGACTCAAAAATTATTGAGTCTCACCCGACACACAACCCGCTTCACAAGAAAGCATCGCTCCTTTTGCATTATGCCGACCTATGCTCCTCTGCTTTGAGAGCTGGTCTCTCCACGAACGGCTCTCCATGCAAAGGTGTCGATCTGCATGTGTTCACTCGTTTTCGCCTTTTCTTCTCCTTCTTCCATCTTCCTTCCCCTTGCGTCTCTCTTTCTTTCACAGGACCTATAATGGGCTCACTCTCTATCTCCCATTCTTTGGCACATGGGCTACTGTAGTCTGGCAGCCCTCAGCCATCGGCCCACCCCCTCACCCTTGCGAGTGAGAAGCTTTGCTCTTTCTCTCTTTCCCTGTCTCTGCTTTGCTTTGCCGGGGCCAGAGCGATCGGTCTCTCTCTCTCTCTCCCTCTCTCTCTCTCTCTCTCCTCCGGGCGTAGGGACGGGTCAGCGTCCCCGGGCACCTGGCCCACCCAANNCGTCTTGTTGGGCTGCGGGGAGTGAAAAGCGAACATAGACCAGCAAAGGCTGAAACCATAAGTTATTCGATAGTAAGGTATGCCAGTCGTACATTCTCCGCAGGAAGCTCTCCCTCTCTCTCTCTTTCTCTCTCTTTCTTTCTTTCTGCGGGGCGTAGGGATCGATCACTCGACCCTCAGGCCTTTGGCCCGCCCCACCCACCCCCTGTGTTAGTGAGTGGATGGCCTTGGGGTTTCAATGACTGATGCATAAGAGGCTCTCTCTCTCTCTCTCTCTCCCTCCCGGGCATAAGGGTCGGTCAAGATCCCCGAACCACAGGCCCACCAGCATATATTTAATGCAGGTCGAGGGGTGTGAAGAGCGAGCATAATACTTCCATCGACTAAAGTCATATAGACTACGATAGCGACAAGGAAGTATGTATGCGACCTGTCTCCGTCTCTCTGATTCGCTGAATCTCCGAGGCCCGGCAAAAGCAGACGTGGCGGATGGCTCGCCTCGCCTCGAAGTCCAGCGACCGCTGCTTGCTTTTGTAGGCTCCGCGGATGTCCAGGACGCCCTCCTCGGCCTTGCGAAACAGTCCCCCTCTGGGTCTATAGGGGGGTGTCCGAAAATAGGGGACCCTAATATAGTACCCCTAAATAATAGGATCCTTATTATAAGGACCCCAAAATAAGGTACCCCTTAATTTTCGGAACCTCCCATAGGGCTTGGGGCTTAGGATGGCTTAGGGTTTGATGCCATGAAGTGTGACATCTGGGCGACAGAGGTGATGAAAGAACGCCCAGAACGCCCAGATAGTCGAAGCCGTGCCACCCAAGATATTTCCTAGGGTTTAGGCTTTGGGGGCATAGACTGCAAAGCTTAAGGTTTCGGGGTGTGCGTTTAAAGTTGAATTTAGGGACCTAAATTCCTAAATCTAAGCCCGAAAGACCTCAACCCGAGAACAACTAAGCCCTCAAACCCCCAGAAGAGACCGAACCCCAAAAAGGTCACCTTGAAACAAAAACAGCCTAAACCCTAAACCCCAACAAAAGCAACTCCACACCCCAAAATCTCCCCAACAAATGGTTGTTGTTCAAAATAACAC